TAGAGATAACAAACAGTATTTAAATTCAAAGTCCATTTAAACTATACAAATCGGGAGCAGAGCAAACATGGACCTCCAAAAACATCAGAGGTGGGATCAGGTGCCATGGAGGAGTGAGCATCCCCTGCCGACCGGTTGCACCCGGCGTAAGCTCCTGGTCATGATCGGGAAAAACGAAAAAATTCGTAGGCAATTCAGTGTGTAGATAATGGCCTTACAATTAGTATGAAAAACATAATTCAGCATTTGACTTAATGATAGGTTGTATTTGCTGAGGTCATCGACCATAAAACTTGCCAAATGATGACTTCAAATCATACTGTTGATATCCTAGCTTCATTAACTTGATTGTCAATGGCTTGTCTCGTTTTAGAAATTGTTCATACGTAGAGCATGCTCTTGCGTATCGAATCAACTGGGAGACAAAAATCTCACAAGCAGGTGATAAGCGTATATTGCTAGATAAGTAAGGAAAGTTGACTATTGATAAATTAAAGTCATCACGTTTATCATAAAGTTTTGTAGTTAGGTTACTATTAAAGTCTTTTTTTAGCAAAATATCTAAATATGAAACAGATCTATCAGACTCAATGGTATCTTTTATTTCAAGCTCACTGGAATATAACGAGTCAACATATGGCTATAACTATAGTTTATTGATAATACGTCGTCGGTATATCTAAATGTCGAGTTGAAGGCTATAGCAAGTGTTTACGTCTTCTCATGTAGAAGTATTTGAATAAATTCTGCTTCATTTGAATACAAAAATAGGTCTGTTAATAACGGATCGCAATACCCATGGGAATTCCAACAGATTGTTGGAAGACCTGATCTCCAAAAACTACATAGAAATTGTCAATCAGAAACTCAAGCATCTTTTTAATATCAATTTCAGAGTACTTGTGTGTACAATTAGAATGTTTTTTTAACAAAATAATTTTGCTAATGACCAATGACAAGGCAAGTATATTTACGAGTTCCATTTTTATTGAAAAAGCAGCAGTCTATGATATCAAAAAGTCTGCACTTTAATTTATCATGTGGAATGGTTATATAAAGTTTTGAAAAGTCGTACGTTTTGATGTTATAGATATCGTAAGAAAATTTTGTGATTTCAAATTTCCTAAAAGTTCCTTGGAGTTTTGAAGTATCCACATCTGATTTACACATCTCGAAAATATATTGTACTCCTGAAGTTTCTCCTTCACTGCTGTAAATATTTTCGCGAAGAGTAAAGAAAGAGGTTTGGTAGAACATTTACTGGAACCCTCTATGTATCTTTGTAAGGATTTTTATGAAGTTTTGAAATCCAGTATAGGTATGGTAATTCAAATTCACTTTGATTGTTGGGAATATGATTTTTTTTTTTATGGTTTTGAAGAATTTCCTCCTTTGAAAGGGAGCTATGGGTATAAGTTAGATTACCATTTGCAGAATTAAATCCTAGTTCCTCTATAATACAATTCAAATAATGGGACTTATAAACAAAGGTAATCAGATGAGTTCAATGGGTCATCATAAGGGGAAAATATGGCTGAATTTCTGTCTGAGATAGTTCCAACACACAGAAATGAAGGATCTAATATACATGTATAAAATAAGTTTTCTTACTCTGCATTTCATGAAGAATGTACTTATCAAGAATCGAAAGTTTCAGATAATGAAAGAAATGAGATAACGAACAACGGTCAATTTATTTTACAAACAATTCAAATCATGAACAGGACCAAAGCATACACCACTCCTGTAAACTCCTGTAAACAGTAGAGGTGGGATCAGATGCCTAGTGGGAGTAAGCATCCTCTTGCAAACGAATAAACCCGGTTTGAGCCCTCTGTATTGATCAGGTTAACGAAGAAATCTGTATAAATAAGGTAAATACATAAGTTGAAACATCGTTTAAAACCCTTTCCGTGGTATATCCGTGGTATATCTGAAATTATTGAGAACAGTACACATTGTAGAGGGAAAATATGTATTTTTCTAAACAAATGTAAAACAGCAATTTGTATTTAAAATCATACATATTTTAAAAGTAGACTGCCATAAGACAGTAAATTCCTTGCTGTGAAACAGTGGATTGTAAACTGGTCTTTTTCTTGAAAAATTGTGAGGACTTCTATGTAATATGTATGTAATACTCCTGTACAGGAAGGAATCTACAGTATTAATTTTAGAAGGAGTAAGGAGTTATGGAAAGCTCTTCGTTGAAAAAATGGCATTTTAAATTTTCGGCCCCTAATTGGTCCCCTTAAAGCGAATAGAATATAATTTCGAAACCTTATAATTGAACATTAAAAAGGACACCACCAATGAAGATATACATGTAGTTTAGCAACTCTTAAAAATGAGTTCTTGGAATATAATTTTTGTAGAAAAACGTCCTTTTCGACCCCCAACTGGTTTCCCGGACGAAAAAAGAAAAATTGAAACCAAATACATATCTACTAGAAACCATTATCTTCTAAAAGATTATTGAATGTAATATATATATATATATATATATATATATATATATATATATATATATATATATATATATATATATATATATATATATATATATATATATATATATATTATTTAAGGAATAACTGTCTAATTTTTTGGATTCATGATGTGATCAATCGAGTGGCTTGCGTGATAATTTGCATAAACGCCGAAGGCGTTTATGCATAAAATTATCACGCAAGCCAATCGATTGATCATCGTCATGAATCCAAAAAATCTGAGAGTTATTCCTTGTATTTACATGCTCCTGATTCTGCAAATTCCCGTGCTAATAGCCCCGCTTCTGTCTCTATTTGTCCCGCCCCGCACGTGATTTTTTTTTAACTTCGCCTATCGATGAACCAGTAGATTTATCTAGAAATAAAGTATTTTTACAATTTGTAATTTTATCTCGGACAAAGACATTGGAAATGTATATATATATAATAATTTTTTGAATTGTAAAACGTCTGAAGAAGTAATGAAAGCGCTTACGTTTTACTAACATTGTTGCCTTGTTATTTTTAATTTTCATATATATATATATATATATATATATATATATATATATATATATATATATATATATATATATATATATATATATATATATATATATATATATATATATATGAGTAGTTCTGGAAACAATGTCTTTGTAAAATAAAATCATGTTTCCATCCCAAGAGGACCAATCACTAAGAAAAAAAACCTTATTGCACATTTATTCGACAACACAAATTATATATCAGCTACTGAAATGTAAGAGGAGTTTAAGGAAGAAAATACTGTGACAGACGGACGGAAGGTGTGAGATAACAACAATCCGGGTATTAAAAAGTGCGGGTATGAAAATGATAAACTGTTAAACGGAAAAAAAATAGTGCATGCATATCTTAGTGTAGAGGTCTAAGTTTTAGATCAAGGCCAGGTTCTCTCCCAAGAAATAATAGAAAAATTGGATTCAGTTCGGTTAGATTTAAGGTGTTTCGTGTTATTATTCATCAATGCATTGATGTATTGAGTTTCTCTCTCTCTCGTTTTTTTCCTATCTTGTTTTTATCCAGTAATATTTTTTCTCTTAAGATGCTTTTTATATATTGTTCAATGAAAGATGTAAACACATTAGGATTTTTAAGTTACACAACTGTGATCACTTTGAAAATATTTAATTACCAAATCGTGGTTGTCTGACTCGCATTATCTTCTTCTAAAATTACGTGTGCAATGAAGTGTGTTAGAATCGTGTAATCGTGACACACTCACTCTATATTTCTGCTACAGATACATTTCGAAGATGGTACTTATCCTATCATCCTAAAAATTGCTTGAATCTCAGCGCTTGAATGCAAAGTAAGATGCATTTGATTAGGTCATTAGAAATGTGGAGTTGGATAGAAATTTATTATACTAGTTCATTCAACATAAATTGGTATTTTGTTGAATCAAACAGTACACAACAGTAAACACTCCTTTCATTAAAGACGCAATTGTACATCTTAAACATATGTTTATGTTAGTTGTTCTTCTGTAGTTAGTGTACATTTAATAAAGATGACGATTTTTACAGGATTTGTAGGGTGTTATCAATACACGAACAACATGGATATGTTCTCTAAATATACAAATGTGTCGACATTTCAAGGCAGTGGGGAAACAGAATTTTCTTTAACTCACAGATGTATTCAGACCTGTCTTTTACAAAGCAGGAAATATGCAGGATTTAAGGTTTGTAATGTAGACAGTCTACCAAATGATGATGTTAAGAGGGCTGGGAGGTCGTTTCCATTTTTAGACTATATTGATCTCCTTTAGAAGAAGAGCTCCATATAAAGACATACAAAAATGATCAAATTTTAAAACTAAAATGTATGAATTTTTTCTTTGCCAAATGATAGTTGACAGCTTAAGATATCATGTCTAAAAAAATAAGATATATATATCTGATGGTTAATTTGTTGACCCCCAGCCTCCTTAATGCGATAAACATTTGAATAGGACTATTGTAAAATTTTTCTTTTTTTTTTTTTTTTTTTTGAGTGATTAAATTTTCGTGGTTTGAGGAAAAAGTATTGTTTCATTTGAATTTAATTTTGTGGCTGGTAGACAAACATAATTCTATTGATAGAAATTTTGACATGACTTCGTGGGTCTCTTCATACCAAAGTAAAAAAAAATGATAATTATACACCACGAAAATTAGTGATTTCATAGTATTTTAATGGAGTATTGTTTAATTTTCTATAGGAAGATTTTCAATGTTTATGTGGGGACACCTACAACCAGACCTTTGCTGTAGATCAATCGATGTGTTATTGCAAGAAGCGTGTATGTTCAGGTTTAATGAAGATTTATAACACAGGTATCCTTGAAAAAGTTACTCATATAAACAAGAGAAGTATATTTCTAAACATTTTTTATCATTACGGAGTACTATCTACTTGTAAGGTTCAAGTACAAAGAAACGAATTCGAGTCAAAATAAGATTAAATATACTTCTAGACTATGACATGAAACCACTTCTTTCCATTCCCGGGAACAATTCAAACATCCTTGAGGTATGGGAAACAAACTCATCTGGGAAGTTTCATGGTATCTTTTTGGAGAATATAATGAGAAATCCCGCCATCGACTGGTGGAAGGACAGAAGACTTTACCATATACCAGAATATGTACGTTTGTAATGTTTGAAATTAATTAAAAGGTGGTAAAATATTCATATTGAAATAATAATGAACAAAAATTTTTGACTTCAGATACATTTTTGAAAACAATTCATAGATCTTTCATAAATAATGACTGTATCATCTGAAGGTGAAATTATTAACAATGAACAAGCATGGGCAGTGGCTCTGGTCGATGGATTTCTTTACCAATGGATCTACAGCAGATATGAAGAGCTGGATGAATGCTTCCAATATACTAAGTAATGAATACAAGAATTCAGTCAGTGGAATATCACTCGGGTAAAGGTATTTTTTTGTTAATGTTGTTAAATGCATAGAAATATTTCGCATGTATGCGTATACCCATGCATATGACCAGGCAATGCATGAAAAAAATTTAATTGGTATCAATGGAATTTTGTAGTCAGGATATTCTTGCAATTCATAATGGAAGGCACTCGGTCTGTTTTTTACATGGAGATATACTGAAAGATGGATCGGGCTCAAGAGTCACTGTTTTCACCCTGAATAAACAGCCACAGCCAGGTATACAAGAAATTGGACAAGGAAACATACTTAGATTCATCTCCTTAGATACCGAGTCATCTGTTCATGATTGACAAATGTGGAAACTTACAGACACACAAACACACACTTATATAGATAATTGTTTCATGCACTTAATTGTCTAATTTGACATTAAATATTCATACATGAAAATAAGCATTAATGATATAACAACAATAACGGCTTTTGTAATATTGTTGATTCAAATAAAATAAATCCCTTGTATGTTGTAAAGCATTAATCAATATATTTAATGGTATTCATTGTTGTTAATATGGAAATGTGAGAAACTTGCGAGGAGTGCAAGGGGTAAAACTCGCAAAATTTTCACCACACATTCATAAAATAAGAAAAAAAAATACAATGTACCACGCTAACACTATTTTACATGGAAATTACAAAATTTTTACCCGTAAAAAATTCAATTGAGTATAATCATCTCTTTAATGTCTTGAAGTGATGGTCAATGAAATTGGTGGAAAAGTGGGAGATTTTTTTTTCAAGATGTTAGAAATATCTAGCTATATATGACACTTTAAATAATTTGTTCTGAACCAGGTATTCAACAATGACGACATTAGCATCTAATTTTGTTTTCAGTCTTTGCTTCAATGCCCTGGGGGATTTTTCGGATAATGGAGAACGTTGACAATGATAACAGCTGTCGGACAAAATGCGCAGCACTGGCTGGTTTCATCTTTAAAAATGATGCACAGCAGGTTACAAGAAATCTTTTCCCTATATTCTTCATGAAAGTGTAATTATTTTTAAACATGTATCGAACTAAAAACAAAATCCGTGTTACTTTGAATGACGTAAGTTTTTGGTTTCTTTTTTCTCACGAGTAGAACAAATATATTCTATTCCTATGGGTGTGTTAGCAAAGCTATTTTAAAACCAGGAATAGTATCAGGTTGATCTTTTGATACGTTTTTGTCTTATGTCAATTTCTTGAAGACAACTTTCGATGAATCTTCTAAATTTAACTTTAACACATCAAATTTTATCCATACTTAAGGAAGGATTCTTGTACCTTTATATGACTATTTCGCCATACGTGAAAATAAAATGAAAACAAGCATTCTGAGAGTATTGCATTAGCAATACTAGTCAAATGCAATACTAGTCCCCTACCGGCAAGTGTAATCTGGTTCCCGTTAAAAATTGAAAATGCTATAATTCCATCAAAATTCAATGAAGCAGAACGAAATGCAAACTTGATCTATAACTCATCAAGGTTAAGTCACATACCAAAAATCAGCTCAATATCTGCAATCGTTTAGGAAAAAAGTGCGGAAAACCCTGAAAAATTGAAAAGATCGTAATTCCGTCAAAAATCATTGAAGCGGAACGAAATGCAAACTTGATCTGTAACTCATCAAGATACACTCACTTACCAAAAATCAGCTCAATATCTGCAAGCGTTTAGAAGAAAAGTGCGGAAAACCAAGTGGGACAGACAGACAGAAGGACAGACAGACAGACAGACGGACGGACGGACAGACTCAGAGGAAACCTATAGTCCCCTCCGGTTTCACCGGTAGGGGACTAATAAATGAAGGAAACATATAAAAAATATATATCTTATAAAAAGATAGGAAATTTTTGTCAGCCAATATCCTTTTTGGTTAAATTATTAGTCCCCTACCGGTGAAACCGGAGGGGACTATAGGTTTCCTCTGAGTCTGTCCGTCTGTCTGTCTGTCCGTCTGTCCCTCTGTCTGTCTGTCAGTCTGTCCCACTTGGTTTTTCGCACTTTTCTTCTAAACGCTTGCAGATATTGAGCTGATTTTTGGTATGTGAGTGTATCTTGATGAGTTACAGATCAAGTTTGCATTTCGTTCCGCTTCAATGATTTTTGACGGAATTACGACCTTTTCAATTTTTCAGGGTTTTCCGCACTTTTTTTTCTAAACGCTTGCAAATATTGAGCTGATTTTTGGTATTTTACTTTACCTTGATGAGTTATAGATCAAATTTGCATTTCGTTCTGCTTCATTGATTTTTGACGGAATTATGGCATTTTCAATTTTTAACGGGAACCGGATTACACTTGCCGGTAGGGACTAGTATTGCTAATGCAATACTCTCAGAATGCTTGTTTATCTTAGTTTGGTTGTATCATCTGATATACCCGTATCATCCTTTTGAAATAGAAGTACGCATCAAATTATTGGTGACAGTAAATTTTTATTCATAATGTCAAGGACAAAACGACCTTGATCTGACCCAATTCTTAAAAAAACCAGTCAATTGTGTCGTCTACAGAACAGAGAGACACTTAACGATCACTTTTACCTGAAATTCCAACATTAGTCTTGGCTTCTCCAACTTAAATCTAGGCTTTTCCAACTTTAATTTTAACTTGTCTTACCATTTACTCATCTTTTTTTCTCTATTTTTTAAATTATTACCAACTTTATTATGCAAACCAAATACACTGAAACAAATTGGTAAGTATTTAAACTATGTCAATTACCTTTAACCTTGACCTTCCCTATGACTTCACATACTATTTCCAACTGTAAGGACATACGCAACGTAGTTTGAACTTAAATGTCTTTTTCCCTGGAGTTGAAGAGTTCCAATATTTAAAGGAACTGTGTACTACATTTTGATGTCTATATATGGTGTTGTACACTTCCTCTAAAACAAGTTTGGATAGACAAAACATTTAGAATATATGTTTAGTAATTAGGGTCTTCCGTCTCCAACGGAAGACCCTTCTATTATTCTATTGTTTCTTTTTCACTTTTATTATTAGGGTCTTCCGTCTTCAGCGGAAGACCCTTCTATTATTCTTCGGTTTCTTTTTTACCTTTATTATTATTATTATTTTTATTCTTTTTTCTTCTTACAAAATTTGTGCAGAGGATTTCTCGGAGATGGCTCGTTCGATTTTATTCAAAATTTCGTCAGAGATGCGTTGATATCTGAAGTTAATTCCGGCAATTCCGTTTAGGGATATTTACTTCCGGTTGGAAGTTATCGCCCTTTTATCAAAATTTAGAGGACCTCCTTGTCTGTGATGGAACTCAAAAACGGCTTAAGCTAAGGCGCTGAAATTTTCAGTGATGATAGAGGACATGTTGCCATTATGCACCTGGGTTTGGATATTTTCCGGAAGTGCCTAGTATGGGAGCTCGGTAGGGGTCAAAATTTAGGAAGCAAATCATGAGTGAATTTTAGAGACATTTCTTACGATAATTTTTTAACTATGAGTATTTTGTTAAAAAATATTGAAAAGAAATTGCGTAGAATTACAAGATCTTTTATATGATATCAAAGGAAAAGGGCTGACTCATCACATTAGGGGCTGAGAAGGGCCGAAAGTCTTTAATCAATAACTCTTTAACGATCAATATTTTGTAATGCATTACTGAAGCAAAAATATTTATCTCAACTATTTACAAGTATATATTATGATATTCACATCATTTGTTACATAATAAGGGATCATAAGGGGCCAGAATGCTAAATCTTTGATGCTTTATATCTTAAAAGTGGGAAATATTTTGATAAGCAATATTGAACAAAAGATGTCCAAAATAATGTTTTAAACAAGATGCAACCTTTCATTTTTTGCTAAACGTCCTAATTAAGGAGTTGAAGGGCTGGCCCCTAAATACTTCTTTTGTAAATATCTCAGAAACGAAAAAGAAATTCTGACTAGTTGTTGAACAAAAAGTGTTCAAAATCATGAGAGCTTTAAAGTGAAATGAAGAAAAAGGGGCTGCACCCTCACAATAGGGGCTGAGAGGGGCCGAAATTCTTTAATCAATGACTCTTTAACGATCAATATTTTGTAATGCATTACTGAAGCAAAAATGTTTATCTCAACTATTTACAAGTATATATTATGATATTCACATCATTTGTTACATAATTAGGGGCCATAAGGGGCCAGAATGCTAAATCTTTGATGCTTTATATCTCAAAAGTGGGAAATATTTTGATAAGCAATATTGAACAAAAGATGTCCAAAATAATGTTTTAAACAAGATGCAACCTTTCATTTTTTGCTAAATGTCCTAATTAAGGAGTTGAAGGGCTGGCCCCTAAATACTTCTTTTGTAAATATCTCAGAAACGAAAAAGAATTTCCGACTAGTTGTTGAACAAAAAGTGTTCAAAATCATGAGATCTTTAAAGTGATATGAAGAAAAAGGGGCTGCACCCTCAAAATAGGGGCTGAGAGGGGCCGAAAGTCTTTGAAAAATAACTCTTTAACAATCAATATTTTGTAATGCATTACTGAAGCAAAAATGCTTATCTCAACAATTCACAAGTATATATTATGATATCCACATCATATGTTACATAATTAGGGGTCATGAGGGGTCAGAATGCTAAATCTTTGACGCCTTATATCTCAAAAGTGGGAAATATTTTGATAAGCAATATTGAACAAAAGATGTCCAGAATAATGTTCTAAACAAGATGCAACCTTTCATTTTTTTGCTAAACGTCCCCATTAAGGAGTTGAAGGGCCACGAATATCTCAGAAACGAAAAAGTATTTCTGACTAGTTGTTGAACAAAAAGTGTAAAAAAAATCATGAGAGCTTTAAGGTGATATAAAGGATAAGGGTCTGATCCCTTAAATAAGGGGCCGAGAGGGGCTGAAAGTATACAATCAATAACTCTGTAATGATCAATATTTTGTAATATATTACTAAGGCGAAATAGTTCTTCTTCACACACTTTATCTAAATAACATGATGTTGATATCATATATTATGCAATAAGGGGTCCTTAGGGGGCCAGATTGTATAATCTTTGGCGCAATATGTCTCGAAAAGGAATAATACTTTGATAAACAGTATTAAACAAAAGACGTTCAAAATAATATTCTGAACAATATGCACTCTTTGAATTTTTGTTAGACGTCCCCATTTAGGACTTGAAGGGCCGGCCCTTTTTATTTCTTTTGCATATATCCCGAAAACAAAAAAGAATTTCTGAATAGTTGTTGAACAAAAAGTGTTAGAAAGCATGAGAGCGTTAAGATTATATCAAGAAAAGGGGGCTGACCTCTCACAATAGGGGCCAAGAAGAACCGAAAGTCTTTAATCTATAACTTTTTAATGATCAATATTTTGTTAAACATTATTAAAGCAAAATTGTTCGTCTTAACAATATATTTATATCATTATATTCGAACGAAAATCTCAGTCAAATTCTTATCTCATCTTATCAAAAATCGGACGGAAGACCCACTCGTTGCTCGCAACGAGATCTCATCTAGTTATTATTATTTTTTTTTTCTGTCCAAATTTTGTGCAGACGATTTCTCAGAGATGGTTTGATGGATTTACTTGAAATTTTCAGAGATGATGTATCATGATCTAAACCTTATTCACTTTTTTTTTATTTTTTGAAAATTCACTTCCGGTCGGAAGTTATCGCCCTTTAATCGAATTTTAGTGACCATTTTGTCTACACAAAAAGTCAAAAACGACAGAAGCTGGAGTGCTGAAATTTTCAGTGATAATAGAGGACATGTTCTAGTTTTGCACCTCGGTTTTCAAATTTTCTGGAAGTGCCTAGTATGGAAGCTCGGTAGGGGTCGAAATTTATGACATGAATCAGGAGTGAATTTTTGAGACATTTTTTATCATATCTTCAAAACTATGAATATTTTCTTAAAACATATTGAACAGAAATTGTGTAGAATTACTAGATCTTTTATATGAAATCAAAGAAAAAGAGCTGACTTAT